TATTGCTATTGCTATTTAAAAAATTGTTGTGTTTTATTTGTTTTTAATCTTTCTTAATTTTTGTTTCTGTAAGCCTCCCGGAGTCCTCTGGGATTGTGCGGCCTATAAATTTAATAAACAGTAAACAGTAAACAGTAAACTGGACTGGAGATAGGAGAGTTACAGTAATTGATTCATACTGGGATGGGGAAAAAAGCCGAATCTGTTTTATAGCGCTCATTCCCTGTTGCAAATCAACACCATGAGTGTCTTTCAGCTATAGAAGAAGAAAAAGGATTATCACAGTTAACAACCGCTCCAGAGACAGTATTGAATGAGAATCGTGCGCGTGAAAATAATGTGCTTGGCAATCCCTTTTCCCCCCTCTGTCTCTGTGAGAAAGATAAACAGCTAGATATTGTATATGTAGCACTCCGTATGCAACGGAATATTCATCCAAAAAGGTACCTGTTCAATTTGCTTGATCCACACTTTCATGCAAGCTTCTATTCGTTCCACAGTCTCCATGCTATTTGCTGCCACCAGAAAATCAGCTGGTCCTTTTAACGTTTCCAGATCATAGGTTTCACACTTCTTCAGGACCACCTAAATTATGCATTAGGCAATTATTCTATACATTTCAATATCTCTGCCTAAGAAATTATGGCTACATAATTCAAAGGTTAGCCCAAGGTGTTGGTATGCAAGACCAATGGTTATCTACATATTATTCCATGCTAGTTTGCTCTGCACAGCAGCACCTGATCAACGGCATATTAGTTACAGTTGAAAACCCCAGAATAATATTATTGCCCTTCTGCCTTCCAAATGGGCTGTCTGCTAGACTTTGAGTTTCTTCCGATAGAAGTTCAAAGAGTCCTCCTCATCCATATTCTATTTATATTAAAAGCTGATCTGCCACAAACAAGAAAGAAATTTGTTATCGTTCTTTCTATTGTGTCTCTAAGACCCTAAATCACTTCTGCCTGCAGGTAGGACATATACAGTTGAATGTATCAATATAGAGGTTCTCCCACGTAACAACAACAAAAAAAAAGGCTTTAGGAAGAAGGAATTAACCGTTTTCCATATCCTGTCACACAGTTTGGGGTTGGGGGTGGGTGGGTTGTTTTGCTTTGTATGGAAAGACATTTAAATTATGCAATCCCTGTTGCCATCTAAAATAGTTCAACTCTGCTGCCGGGAATATAGTTTAGAGATAATAGTTCTTGAGCATATTTGGCACCTCTAGTAATTCTTGCTGCCGTAATTCGTAGAAAATAATTGTTTTAAACATCAGGTAGTAATAATAATTTATGCTGCTTTGCTGCCTAACTCTCAACAACTCTGGTTTATATTGTACAGCGCCTGGAACCTCTTTCTGATGGAGCTGGGTGGTTAAGAAATCTATAATATAATAAATATAATATAATATAATAAATATAATATAATATAATAAATATAATATAATA